ATTCAGACTTTTGATCACCCTGTATTTGTTTCAAATAAATGTCAGTAGATAGTAAATCAAAAGTTGAGATAGGGACATGGTAGCCGTTTTGACCAATAATGAATAGTTTCGACTCAAAAAAATCCCAAAGTTGTAAAATCTCGATTTTGAACACCCTATATCTCTGTAATCATTCCTGCTAGACCCCAAGTGTGATGCATTGATGAAATCAGCTTTTCAGGGAGAATCTAAAAATGCAATAAAATACAGGGTGTTCTATTTGAAATAACAAAGTAGTTGCTTCTTTTCGTTAGAAGCGGCAACGCCGCGGGGCTGAAAATATTTTAGAACCATGTCCCCCTCGAAAATGTAGTTGACGTGTCTCAGGATTTTTCAAAAACATACACACATTTCGAGAAAATTAGGGTGGGAAGTCCTGAAATGAACACCCTGTATATATATATATACAAGTTACAGGGAATATTGTTGAACAAACTGGCTTTATTATTGAAAAGGAATATTCTCAGATAAATTATGAACATACAAAAATGGATATATTATATAAAGCAATACATTGAGAATCCGCATTCTCTATGTGATGAGAATATTACTCTTTTTCAGTTAATTCAATAGAAAACAACTACTTTCCTGGCTATATGCCACGACGAACATTGAATTATATCTATTGAACACACACGATAAGAGTTTGAAAATAAAATATAAAAACTGCTGAAATTGAGAATTTGCATTCTCCTTCAGACAAAAATATGTATATACACACATCTGAATATTCAACAGAAAACAACTACTTTCCTGGCTATTTGCCACGTCGAACATTGAATTATATCTGATGAACATCCAAGAGGAGAACATGAAAAATAAAGAATAAAATCCTCCGAAATTGTGAATTGACATTCTTCTTCAAATCGGATGAATAATATGATGAATAATGATATAGAAATATGACTCACCAATATTTTTCAGCATTGAAATAAAAATTGGAATGTATAGGAGAAGTATACTGGCATGAACCCTGATCTTGATGAGCTCGAAAACTTCCAAAAATAATCATTCACATCAGTGATATGGGAAATATTATCTCTCACACACAGGTTATATGACTTTATTGCAATGAAACCATTTCGGATCTCTGAATCCTCATCAGTAACCATGATGTCCACTTATTCTTACAGCCATTCTTCATGATATACACAATTTTCATCTCTATATAATACAACTGAAATCGAGTGAAACTATAACGAAATGACATCTGAGAAATTTGTTGACATTCTATTCCTGTCATTTGGACGTTTTTGCTTTTGGGTGTATGATAAATTGACATTCATCATACAGGGCGTGGAAATGAATTCTAAATTGAGACTCTATCACGAATCTGCGATTAGAGGTCTATAAAAATCACAAGTTTCCATCGTTCAAGTTTGAACCCCCTGATTGGGTATGAAATTGTTGAAAAGGAATATTCTCAGATAAATCATGAACATACAAAAATGGATATATTATATAAAGCAATACATTGAGAATTCGCATTCTCTATGTGATGAGAATATTTACTCTTTTTCAGTTAATTCAATAGAAAACAACTACTTTCCTGGCTATATGCCACGACGAACATTGAATTATATCTATTGAACACACACGATAAGATTTTGAAAATAAAATATAAAAACTGCTGAAATTGAGAATTGGCATTCTCCTTCAGACAAAAATATGTATATACACACATCATTCTGAATATTCAACAGAAAACAACTACTTTCCTGGCTATTTGCCACGTCGAACATTGAATTATATCTGATGAACATTCAAGAGGAGAACATGAAAAATAAAGAATAAAATCCTCCGAAATTGTGAATTGACATTCTTCTTCAAATCGGATGAATAATATGATGAATAATGATATAGAAATATGACTTACCAATATTTTTCAGCATTGAAATGAAAATTGGAATGTATAGGAGAAGTATACTTTATTATATCAACATCAAGTAATCCCTGGATAGGGTATTCTCCAAATGGAGTAATAATATGCAATGGAAAACCTACTCAACTTTTAGAGATCAAGTGTCCATTCATAGGTAAATCTCAATATTAATTTTTCTATATTTGAGAAGAAAATAATTTCAGGAAAATCGAAATCTATGGGAGAATGTGTCCAAACATTAAAGTTCATTGATGGAGGCCATACAATTCAGTTGAAGAAAAAACATGCTTATTATGCTCAAATTCAAGTTAGAATGGCATTACTCAATTTAGAAGAATGTGATTTCCTGATATACTTATGCTCCTATTGATAATTCAATGTGTATTATTAATGTTGCATATGATTATGCATATTGTGAAAATTTACTAGAAACAATTAAGAATAATAACTTTTTTCAGCACATGCTACATGAAAGATGTTCGAATAATAAAGTGTAGAATAATAACTTGTTTATTCAATAAATGAAAAATTCATGTTATTTTCAATTCATTATAATAATAGTGAAATCATCGGAAGAAATTAGTGAATACCCCTACAGAATATCTCAAAGTCTTATATGTATAGCATTCAAACATTTGTGAATTTATCATCAGCTAATATTGGTGATGATAAATTGGCAATAGCACAAGTTATTGTTGAAATATCTTCAGAAATGCTTACTAAGGGCCATTGCAGCTTACCACTGAGAATTAAAAATGGTTTTATTCTTCGATTGGCTCTTTTGTTATGTACTCTGGCAGCTGCAAAAGCAGCATTCAATTGCGATTCATCTCTACTCAACTGAGGTTTACTTCTGAGGAACGGTGGTCTTATTAATTTCATGTTATATTCTTCGCAAACAGTATCTATTAAAAATCCTTTATCAACCATGATACTGTCAATGCCTTCATCAGATGTTCTTCCCCCATAACACTTGCTGAGAAAAGTGATCAGACCACCTGGGGATACACCAATCATAAATTTTATTGTCATATTTGATTTGTATTGAGAATAACACTTAATTCTACAGCAAAGACATTCTGGTCTTTGAATGAAAACTTCAGTGCAGTCTACAAAAATTATACTCGTAGATTCAGAGCCTTTGGAACATAGAGGTAAATTTTTCTTAATTTCAGATGGATTAGGAAATTTTATACAGGGCTTCAGTATCATTGCCAAACACTTCACCATATTAAAAACAATATTTTTGCATGTTTGAGATGTCACTCCAAACAGCAATCCAAGAACAACATATGTTGAATAATGGCGGATTTATGCAACATACGCATAGTCTTAGCCTTAGTTTTAAGCATAGTCTCTGAGCTTATTTTTAGTCTTTAGAATTTGAGGCATTTACCCATAGACATTATTAAGCATATCGAAAATTAATGAAATGTCAAAAGTCAACGTACCTAACCTCAAACAACGGTTTGTCAAGGTTCTGGTGGTTCTGACTATTATTTGTTATTTTGATTGTTTTTCAATATTTTTCAATATGGAAGTCAACAGCAGAGTTGCAATGTTAATGGGGTGTTCTTTTTTGCTTTTCACGGTAACTTCCATTTGTACCATAGTTAAATCAAAACAGAGAAGAGCTAGGCGATATGGTGTACGGCCAATTAATAGGAGACGAGACACAGAGGGGCTCTTCAATACGTTCAAAGAAATGAAAGATTCAGAATGGGACGGAGACCAATTCTTCAAGTTTACTAGAATGACTCGAAAACAGTTTGGTTATCTGCTAGAAATAGTCAAGTCAGATTTACAAAAAGATATAAAAAAAAGCACATTTCTCCTGATCAGCGTCTCATGATTACAATTTAGTGAGTATCAGAATAAAAATTTCTTATTTATTACTTTTTTAGTTGGGTGCTCAATGCAGGAGATTGCCTGGGGTTATAGAATTAGTTTGACAACTGCCCACAAAATCATTGAAGAAACCACTCAAGTCCTTTGGGACTCCTTGAATCAGTCACAACTTCCAGTTCCCACAAGAGAAAGCTGGGAGACAATTTCTTCACGGTTCTATGATAGGTGGAATTTACCCAATTGTATCGGAGCAGTGGATGGTAAACACATTGTCATTCAGGCACCCTTCAAATCTGGAAGTGTGGATTTCAATTATTAAAAAACATTCAGCATCGTTTTGATGGCTACTTGTGATGCCTTCTATAGGTTTACGATGATCGACATAGGGGCTGCTGGGTCAAATCATGATCCTGTTGTGTTTAAGGAAAGTGGTTTAGGGAGTGCTATGTTGAATGGAGAATTAGATATTCCTTCCCCAAAAAAACTTCCAGGAACTAACCTTGTTCTAAATCATTTTATTTTTGGTGGTTCAGCCTTTCCACTCCAGGAAATAATTTGGGAGAAAAAAAAAATTTTTAACTATCGAGTAAGCAGAGCACGGCGAACTATAGAGAATACTTTTGGCATACTGAGTCAGCGTTGGCGTATACTTCGTCGGCCAATAGTTGCTAGTGTGGAAGTTGCGGAACTAATTGTGCAAGCAACTGTAGTGCTCCACAACTTCCTGCAAAACAGCGAGAAAGATATACCCCTGTCACAAAGGAAATATTGTCCAACAGGATTTGAGGACTACATTGATCAAGATGGGGAATTACAACCTGGACAGTGGAGAGAAGAGGGTAGAAATTTGAGGTCTGTCAATAAGGTTGGCTCTAATAATGCCACAAATTCTGCCAAAGTACAAAGAGACAGACTGGCTGACTATTTTGTAGCATCAGATGGTTGGTTACCCTGGCAAGAAAATTATGTGAATAGAGGTGGCATTCCCCCTGAGAGACAATAATTAGTTGATTTTCATATCAGTGGATGTATATTACTGTAGGTATTTCTGTATCATTGAAATATACGTTTCATCCCCACGAATTTGTATTGGCAAAATGTTCTGCTGTTCTACTGTTTACCTATCAAATATTTTCAAATAAAATATCAATATAAATGAAGTATAGTCTTTATTCATGAAAACCAAAGTGACACAAAAAAAATTGACAAATCAAATAATGCATTATTCTTTGAACTACTTCAACACAAACTTAAAAATATTTATGAAAGGTACATATAGGCATCACAAAATATAGGTTATGCAGTCTTCAAAATCTATTGCACCACAGCTTATACTAATTTCTTAAGAACTACCAGGAACAAAATATAAACTCTTGAAATGAAGTAAAAATAATCACTAAGAATACAACGGACAACATATTCAGTCTCCTGCAGCTTCAGCTAAACTAAGCCTTATTTTAGCCTTCAAAGCCAGCTACTTTTTTTTATCAAATTCCTTCAGAGATTCTGCCAAAGTCATTGCGAAATGATAATCTTCTTTATTGATGTCAGATGTGTCTGAGGTCAAAAAGGAGTTGAGATTTTTTCCTATATCAGCACATGTTTGGACTAGCTTTTCAAAGGAAATATCATTTTTTCTCTTGCTGCTGTCATTCCGTTCTTTTCTCATATTACTTATTTTCGTATTTGAAATAACTGAACTTGATGGGGAGCTTGGGATATCATTTTGTTTTTTGATCTGAAGCTCTGATGATGCAGTATTATTTTCAGGTCCAGAACCATCTTCAATAATACCTATTTCTTCATATGTTTCATTCATATTATCTTCATCTTGGCTCTGAGACTCTTCCATGTCTTGAGACTCTTGAGAATTGTCCTGGCTGAGGGAATCTTGCCACAATTCTCGTGAAGGCATTTGAAGGGGAGCAGCAGTTTTTCGAACAATATTTCCTTTCGTTCTGTAATATTTCATTTCATTACAAACTATAGATATCTACGGACATTATAACTCACTTCCTGGTGGAGATTGCAACATTTAGAAACCCCATCCTCTCATATAAAGGCCATTTGCATGAATAGCTTTGGGAACCTGTAGGCATTTTTAGGATGATCACTCGCTCTCGAATATATTTCAACCTGATATATTTCCACATTTCTTGACATTGCTCCACTGAAATGAAATCATAATGAGGGTGGCCTCTAATACCTATAGTGGTATCCACAATATCATAACTGACACTGATTCTGAGGAAGAAGTCCATAATTCTATGGATGAAAAAGAGGGGTCCATGGATGATACTCAGGCACTCTATGAAATCGAAAATCGAAAACTTCCAGCTGAAATTCCACCGGCCAAAAGAATCGAATCAATTGTACCAGAGCCTTCTGCAGAAGTGACAGAATAACCCATAAACCCAACCCAACATTTCATGTCCTTCATGAAGGAAATGCTACAGAGGTAGTTCCTTGAAACATGGCGGGACACACCAGGAATGAGACAATCAAAGCTCCATATAAAGGAACCGTCAAAAAGGCTCACGAGAGAGATCCTGTCAGTCAATAGAAGGGATCTCAAGATGGTAGTTGGGCTCTTAACTGGGCACAACCACCTCAACAGGTACCTAGAACTCATAGGGATCAAAGATGATCCCATCTGCAGATGGTGCTTGGAGGATGATGAAACATCATCACACATACTCACTGAATCAAATCAAATCAAAATATACTTTATTGTCCAAAGAAAATTCTCATTGACAAAGTCATAGTGGATATAGTTGTTTAAGGAGTCAATATAAATATATACTACTGAAATCACACTCACATTGAAGATGAATAAAAACCACAGTACTAATGAGGAGCAAACATAAGTAAATATTTACAAAGAAAAACAACACAAATAATGGTTAAAATTGTACTAAACTGGTCACATGAATCGAAAATGACATAAAAAATAGTTCGACAAGATCTATAATGTCAAAATTCAACACGATTCCTTCCAATCTTTGGCACTATAGTCTTGAACACAATAGAAAGTTTCTTTGATGAGATGTTGTTTCACAGATCTCCTAAAGTGTACTGGAGAGACAATATTTCTGAAATTGACTGGAACTTGGTTATAAAATTCAACAGCATTATAAATTAGTGACTTTTTAGTTAAATTCGTCTCAAATTGTTATTACACACAGTTTCGAGAATGAAAATGCATGGACGGGTTAGGATCTTGTGCTCTGGAAATCGAGGTTTACACGATACTCTAGGTTCAACTTTGTAGAGGTATCGAATGGCACGCTTCTGTAGGATAAATATTGATTGGAAATTCTGATTACTGCAAATGCCCCAGAATGGTGTTCCATATCTTATGTGTGACTCAAACAGGGCATGGTACACAACTTTCGAAGTGACCACGCTCAGTTCTCTAGCCACAATCCGCAAAGCATAACACCCAGACGCCAATATTTTACTCAACCTTCTCACGTGATTCTCAAAGTTCAGTTTGTCATCCAGATAAATACCAAGAAATTTAACTTCATTTTTCGGTTCAATGCAAATGTTGTTACTTACCTGTATATCTGATAGATTACATTTGATCGATAGGATGCAGGTTTTACCTATATTGACCGATAGCAAATTCGAATCAAACCACTTTTTCACAACGGAAATATCGCTGAAAATTTTAGCTTGAATATTTTTTTTTTTTATCGATTGGAGCGCACGAAAGGGAATCCCTATAATGTTCAAAGAACATCGTGCGTTCCTAGGGAGGATAGGGACAGGAGGTAGGTATTGGAATTTTTTTTGAATTTTTGGAGATTGTATGTTGTTGGGAATACTTCCACAGGCAATTAATTCCAGAGCCTAGCCGTTCTATGGATGAAGGAGTCTTGATAAAGTGCTGTTCGACATCTTTCGAGGTTGACAACGAAAGGATGTGCTGACTGGGCTTGTCTAGTTCGTCTGATTGGTATTGCTAGTGAAGGGATGATTGCAGAGATTTCCGAAGAACTTTTCCCGTGGAAGTATCGATAGAAAAGTGAAAGGTCGCCGACCTTTCTACGGTGTTCCAATGATGTCAGAGTGAGTGAGTGTGGCGTCACCCACCAGGCGAATGGCTCTTCTCTGGATGGAATCTAAGAGCATCAGCGTATGTTTTGGTGCTGAACCCCATATGTGGGAACAGTATTCTAGAACAGGCCGTATCTGCGCTTTGTAGATCATGAGAAGCTGTTGAGGTGTAAAGCAGCTTTTCGCACGGAACAAGAATCCGAGTTTTTGTGAAGCAGCTTTTGCGATGGATCTGACATGATTATCCCATGAAAGAGTGTTGCTGATGGAAATACCGAGCATAGATATGGCAGGCTTGGTGGGGATGGTGGAGCCAGACATTACAATATCGGGCATACTGAGTTCCGCCTTTCTAGAGAAAATGCAGGCTTGAGTTTTGGTGGCGTTGAATTCAACTAGGTTGTTCGTTCCCCAGGCTGTGATTTCAGCAAGATCTTCATTGACAGCATTGACCTGCATATTATTAACGTCAGAATCATTCCACAGGATGGTTGTATCGTCTGCAAAAATTGTGAATTTGCCATCAATATTGAGATAAGCTAGATCATTAAAATATAATAAAAACAGGATAGACCCCAATACAAAGCCCTGCGGCACACCATGAGAAACTGAACTAGTCTCAGACATCGCATCAGTTCTGACAATTTGTGTTCGCTCACTAAGGTAAGATTTGATCCAGCTAAGGCTCTGATTTCTAAAGCCATAGTGCTGGAGTTTGCGCAGCAGGATTTCATGATTCACACAGTCAAAAGCTTTGGAAAGGTCACAAATTACTACTGCGCAAACTTCCCTCAGATTTAGTTTGCTGTAAAGCTCCTTCAGAAACGAGAAAATAGCATCGCCTGTACTTTTTTGTGGTTGGAAGCCAAATTGCTGAGGATTAAGAATTTTTTGAACATCTATGAATTCCATAAGTCTTATTTTCACCAACTTTTCTATTACTTTTCCTAAGGTCGGAACCAGAGGAATCGGTCGAAAATTTGGGGAATCTGATGTATCTCCACCTTTATGAAGAGGAATCACAAGGCTTATTTTCGGAACAAACGGGAAAATTCCTTTCGCAAAAGAATCATTAATGAGCTGTACCAGCAATTCTTAAGTGAAAATAGGCATGTTTTCAAGAATTCGTATCGAAATATTATCAATTCCGCAAGAAGTTTAATTTTTCACTAGTTTAATTGTACCCATTAGCTCGATTAGATTTGTTTCATACTAAATAAATGAGTCTTCAATATGGATTTCACTCATGTAGATCAGTGGATCTGGTGCCTTTTCTATATTCTCTGCCAGTCTCTCAGCGATGGTGCAGTAAAATTCATTGAGAATGTTCGGATCGAGGGTAATATTGTTGGGCACAGTATTTTTCCCATGAAGATCGTTCACAACACGCCAGGTTTCCCTGATTTTATTTCCACTTTCAGAGTTTCGGTTATGATAATACATTCTTTTCGCAGCCTTGATGACATTTCTGTGAACCCTTTTGTAGTTCATGTAATATTGATGGAAAAATGGATTATCACTGTATTTTCTTATATAATGAAGACTTCAAAGCAGAAATACGAATTCCTTGAGTCAACCAAGCTTTTTTGACATTATTTTTTATTTTAATTTTCTGAATAGGAAAGGAATCTTCGAAGCAATTGGATAATATATTATGATAAGAAAGGAAGGGATCATTCGCATACTCATCAATATTCCATTTAGCATTCAGACAATTATTATAAAATTTTGTGTAATTGCTTTTGCCGAATAATCTACCATATTTGAATTTTTTGGTACTCATATTATACATGACCTTAACCTCACTGTAGATAGCCTCGTGATCAGAAATGTTTGCTGATATAACTGAGCAGATGACATTTTCTTCAGCTAAATTTGTGCAGAGGTAATCGATTTTGCTCTCAGAGTTTGGTGTTATTCTGGTTGGACTATTAATGTGCATAGATAAGTTGAATGAAGTTGAAAGATTTTGTAGTTGATGAGTCAGAGGAGAGTTATTATCATCATAGTTGATGTTGAAGTCACCCACCATAATAACCGTAGCCTTAGTGGGTAATTTGAATAGGAGTGATTCCAATTTTTCAAGAAATATAAGCCCATTTGAACTTGGTGATCTGTATATACACAATACAAATAGATTTGCTGAATGAGAGTGAGCTAAGGTAAATTCGAATTGTTTCTCCACTATAAGGTCATCATATTTATTTATATCAGTGAGCTCTAAATCAGATAATGACGAATTATTAATCAAAATCAATGTTCCACCACAGTTGAATTCACTTCTGCTGAAATTAGATATTATGGTGTAATTTGGAATGTATATAGGTTCTTCTTTCTGCAACCAATGCTCAGTTAGTAATACAACGTGAGGAAAATTTTGGCACTCAAGGAGTTTGTACAAATCATCAGCTCTATTTCTAATCGATTGTATATATTTAATGTGAAAATTGAAATTAGGTGCTCACTTTTTGGAGAACTGTGTGATCTAAGAAAGTATTGCTCAAATTGTTGGAAAGACTCAGGTTCACAGTTTCTATTGGATATAAATTTGGTCGCAAAGATTTTTTTATTTTTTCAATAATATCAAATTAGCTGCCTTTATGATTCTTATCGGACATAAATATTATGGAGCAACATCTGTTACGACGTTTAAATGAAATCACTCTCTTGAAATTACTTCTATTGATATTTTTGTCATAAAATGTATTGCGTTCTGATATAATAATAAGATTAGTGACCTTTCCAAGACCCAGAATGTTGCTTAAAAACTCATGCAATGTTTTATTATTGCTAATATTTTTTGTGTTGAACATTACAATAATTGTGTCTTCTTGGCTAAATTCAATAGTTACACTAAATATATTTTCAGTAAGTTCACTGATTTCAACATTATGTATTATGTATGCCCCGCGCTGGTGCATCAGAGGGAAGCTGCCTTTGGGAGCATTGTACTGCACCCAAAGGATGTGAAAGCGACTCAGCAGAGGAAGCTGCTGAATTTCGTCGAGATATCGGCATGCCCAGCTGATTCACAGGACAAGTGGGCGCACAATGGGCCCGACTGAAGAGGCCTGAGTGCAGGGGTCTACGCACCCACCCACCTATGCAGAGAAGGAGACGAAGAAGAAGATAGAGTTTTCATAGTCAATATAAATATTGTTTCAGGACTACAACAAATTTTTCAGTTAGTCTGAGTATTCCTGAATCTAGTTCTCAGTATAGTGGTATCCACAATATCATAACTAACACTGATTCTGAAGAAGAAGTCAATAATTCTATGGATGAAGAAGAGTAGCCCATGGATGATACTCAGGAACTCTATGAAATCTTTATTGAAAATCGAAAACTTCCATTTGAAATTCCACCGGCCAAAAGAATTGAATCCATTGTACCAGAGCCTTCTACAGAAGTGACAGAACAACCCATAAACCCAACCCAATATTTCAAGGAAAGTCAAATCCTCAATAGAAATAAAAACTTGAATGGAATGAAAAGGCTTCGTTACATAAAAAAAAAACAAAGGATAATAATACTGATAAAGATGGTGTGACATGCGCATATCTCTCGTCGTGCGGGAAGGTAGGACATGCCATTGTTAGCTGGCTTTCAATGGAAGTCACTAGTACTCCAGCTGATGATATTATGGACGTAACAATATATCTATCAAACTGAGTATTGTTAGTTTATTCAGTCTTGCCTGAATATCACATTATCACATGGTGTCAGGTGTAAAAAGAGAAAGTGAAAACGTGAAAGGTTCGGAAGTGAGTATACCACATTCACATTATCACATGGTGTCAGGTGTAAAAAAAGAAAATGAAAACGTGAAAGGTTCGGAAGTGAGTATACCGTATTCCCAAGAAAGAACCTGATCGTGCGCGTAATAGACAAAAGACACGTCGATCATTGAAATATTCTCGAGTGATGACCGCAAAAGTGGACATTCGGACATATTCATGAGCACGTGGAAAAAATGAAACTGTTTTCATGAAAGGAAAAATAACTTGAATATAGTTATATATTGTGGTAGTCAGAAATTACGCTAGTATCGAAAAAAAATCGTGAGTGAGCACGTGCGTTCCGCGTTCGTGATATTCGTTCGATGTAAACAATCAATAATCAATCGATGATCGAGTCGCTGTCGCTGAACGAACGAGTCCATACGAAGCATTGACAGTTAATTGACAAACGACAAGTGGATATTGTGGGACGTGAGGAGACGACACTAAGGGTGTGTTCGAGGAGCACGCTATCGCGCTATGCAACGCAAATGCTATTTGGGCTGTTCGTGGAGGTTTTTAGTACCATTTGATCGTTGGCGCTATCTTGCTCCGTGAACAGCAACAGCATTTATATTATTGTTTATTTTTGAATAAAAGATGGTTTACGATAGACGCAATGTTTTGAATGTGGTGATGGTGGGTTTGCGAATAATGAATCATCAGATTATTGATTCGACTTCAGAATCATCAGAAAGCAGTAAAGACGAGGAATTACAAGCATTAGATGGTCTTAGTGATAGAAGAACGGTGATCACAAGACTTGAGAATTATGTGGAAAAAGTTTTACCTGCACTAAGTGTCCAGGAATTTAAGTCACATTTTAGGTATTTTATTTATTTAATAGTAAGCTACAACTCATAAAAGGCATTCATTTATTATTTTCTTATTATAACCTACCATTTATCATTTTAGAATGTGTCGAGAAACTTTTGATTATGTGCTTCCAATTATTGCACCACAGCTTAAAAGGCAGATTCCAGGAACCACAATGATTTCACCTGAGAAGCAGTTTCTAATTGCCATCTGGAGTCTGGCCACGCCTGATGCATTAAGGTATTTCTCTGTTATCCCATTCCATTAACATTTCTTGCCATCATGTGCATGACCTCTATTTATGTGTTATCCAACAGGAGATAAAGTTCAACAAATATGGGCTGTATTTGAAGCAAAAAGTGCCTTTCCTAAGGTTATAGGAGCAGTTGATGGAACCCATATAAATAAAAAAATTCGGAATCATATGTCAATCGGAAAGGATGTCACTCAGTGATTCTGCAGGTAATACAAAACCCACGTTTTAAAGATCAACTCTTTCAATTTTTTCAAGAAAATTTTCAAACATTTCTTGCATTCGATAGAGAGAAAAATTATAAATGATCTTATCGAACAATAAAAAGAATATTTTCATCCCAACACTCTCTTATACTCATCATCATTAAACCATTCATCATACCATGTTAAATAATCAATATGCAGAATGATAAATACATGTTGCAGTTCAGTCACTATCAGTTGAATTTGTTGAGGAATAAGGGTTACAGACAAAATCTTTCAAATATCTTGGTGGTTTGTGTTTACGTTTAGAACTGTTTGGGATCATATTTTCAATAGAGTAAGGGCTAGTATCACTATGAATAGAAAATTCAATAGTGTCAGTTACATTGCCAATTTCAATAATGTTTTCGACTTCAGAACTAGCAGATAACATTTCTTCAGAGTCATCATCATACTGAGAATCTATGTAAATTTCGGTGTCATTAAAATTTTCCAAATATCACTCAGGGTTTCTTCAATGCCAGATGAATCTGGTGATGGTGTGACACTAGATAGTATATTATCATCATTAACACTTATGTTGTCATTTATTGATGTAATAGGCGTATAGTCAATTGGATTTATCTCATGTATTTCAATAATAGACTCTTTTGAGTTTTCAGGAATTGAATCAAAATCGTTTAGAATACAGTCATTCTTATGAAAATTTTACTCGATTTGTTGAAAAATTCTTTGTAGAAATTATTGGCATGGTGAATATTTCCTTTGGGGTATGGGCGTTGAATGATATTCCATCATGGATAGAGGTAAATCTGATTCATTGTTGCATTTTTTCAGCATATTTTTCACTATTCCTACACATCTTTCAGCTAGACCATTCGATTGATGGTGATAGGGACTGCTGAAAAAGAATTCAAAATTCCATTCTCTTGCAAACTCATGAAATTTTTTGGAATTATATGAAACATTGTCTGGAAAAAAATTATCAGGAATTCCAAATTGTGAAAATTTATTTTTACAATAATAAATAACTTCATCAGCTGTCTTATACTTTGTTTCAGAAACCTCTATCCAATTAGAATAGGTATCTACAATTAGCAAATAATTTTCACCATTATACTTGAGTTGAAACTCGTTAATCTCAGGGGTGCTTTTGGGTTACAGGTGTCCTCAATAAGAGAGTACTCGAGACGTTCCCAGATTTGTATAAACTTTATTTGGTTTACGTAGCAGACAATTTGAAAAATTTGTAGGTCCTGAGGGGCAGTATAATTTGAAAAATTTGTAGGTGCCTGAGGGGCAGTATAATTTGAAAAATTTGTAGGTGTCTGAGGGGCAGTATAATTCGAAAAACTTGTAGGTGCCTGAGGGGCCAAATTCGAAAAACTTGTGCCAGGCGCACCCGAGGGGGTGGTTGTTGGTACATAGTTTGACGGTACATTACTATACAATGGACTAACCCTACAATTATTGTTCCCTCCATTTTCATTCACTTTCAGTTTATTAACCACCTCAGAAATTATATAATCTAAATCAACTGACGGTGCAGTTGGGAATAATGTTGGTTGAGGTGGGACAGTTCCGTTTCCCTGTAATCCAACATTTTTAGGTATTGCCCCAGCACTAGCTGCGAGTCCAGTAGCCCCCTGCCACCTGACACGTTGCGAAGGCAATCTTGGCTGGGGTTGCTCCGCTGAAGGTACGTTTCTAGGGACGCTCTCACTTAATAAATTCAAGTTGTTACCTCCTTTTTTTGTTGCTGGGATGTTGGTGTGGCTGTGATTCCATCACAGTCATGCTGTCCTACCTCATCCATGTTCCCTCTGGACCGGAGGTTGTAATTTGTGGGTGTTTTCTCGAGCACCATCCTAGGGAGTTTCCGGCCCCACGTTGGGCGCCAGATGAGTTGAAACTCGTTAATCTCAGGGGTGCTTTTGGGTTACAGGTGTCCTCAATAAGAGAGTACTCGAGACGTTCCCAGATTTGTATAAACTTTATTTGGTGTACGTAGCAGACAATTTGTGTTTTAACACCCTGTAAATGAAAAATATTAACAGGCGGGTAAAGCGGACTCAAAAGAAACAGACTCCACGAACATTTCCAAGACAATACATTTTTAACAATGATATAAAAAACACGTTCACCTACGTCAAAAAAATGTTCCCCAACCAGCTCGGAGTGTCCGGATTCATTCTGACAAGCCATGTTAGCCATGTAAAACACAACCCCGTATAATGGCGGTATTTCACAGCAAAATTGGACAAATATGGTAATAATGGCAATATTAGTTTTCCTTACCTGTAAATGAGACCAGTCGACACTTTGAACACTTATTGAAGAGTTTAAATGCACAACATAGGCTCTCTAAAATAGCAGAGTGCAAAAATCAAAAATTATCAGTATTGCATATGTTACTTCTTTGGTGGTTTAAAATAGAAGAAGCTAGTCTGATGCATTCACTCACTGCGATAAGGATTCCTGATAAAACAAGAGAACAAAAAAAGTGGTTCCTACCAAAATATTAGTTTTAATTATCTACCGAAACGGTACCGGGTGCGCCATCTTCCGACGGGTGAAGGGATCAAGGGAGGACTGTGAGCACTCGAGGCTCCGAGGCGCGCGAAATATGCACGAAATCGTGGCACAGAGACCTGTTTTGCCACATACTCAAAAAAATCAGAATGTGAATATTGCCATATTCGCTTAGGTTGCTCATGACTTTTCAATGATTCTTTCTGATTAGAATTTCTTTGTAGTTGACAAGTTGTGCACTTATTTATGTATAACTCTATATCATTTGCCAAATTAGGCAAATACAAAATTTGACGAGCTCTCTGCTTTGATTTTTCAATTCCAAAATGTGGCTCATGAATTAACTTCAGCATGTCTTTTCTCAAAGTTGTTGGAACAATAATTTTAGAATTGAGAAGAATTTAATTATTGAAGAAGTGAATGTTCTCTTTCAATTTAAAATTTTTTTTTAAATCAAGTGATAAATCTTTGGAACTATCTGGCCAAAAATTAGAACAGAATGTTTTAACTTTCGACAAAATTTCATCAGAATCAATTTCTTTGCGAAATAGATATTTTGTTCCATCTGACATAGGTATGTCATTTGACAGAGAATGAATTATGTATTCCATCTCTGGCTCATCATCAACATAGTCTTCAATGTAAGCACGAGATAACACATCTGCAACTAACATATGTTTACCAGGTAATAATTGTAACCTTTATATTGTATTTTATTAATCTCAGGAGCATTCTCTGTGAACTTACACTAACTCTCTCTAAACCTTTCGAGAAAATGGAGATAAGAGGCTAATGATCACTTTGAATTGTTATTTCGTAGCCATAAACAAAATAGTGAAACTTTTCAACAGGAAATGATACAGCTAATAACTCCTTTTCAATTTGTGCTCATATTTTCTCAGAGTTGGTGAGATCTAAATGCAAAACTAATGGGATGTCCAGATTGAATCAAACAAACACCTAAGCCTTCACTACTGGCATCACATTGAATTACAATTGGTAATTTGGGATCAAATATTTTGAGTAACGGAGGTTTTTTTTCACAAAGCTCAAATATTTTTCACAAAGCTTAAATATTCTTCTATAACTTCTGTCAAAGCTTCATCATGTGATTCTTCATCAATACCAGAAATTATAAGATCATCAAAATACAAATCAACTCCAGGAATATCTGCAAAAATGTCATAACTTTTTCTTTGAAAAATTCAAGGGACACTAGATATTCCAAATGATACTCAATCAGATCTATACCGTCCAAAAGGAATATTAAATGTACAAAGGTCAGCACTTTGATTGTCCAACTCAAGTTGCCAAAATCCATCTTTCATATCGATTACAGTAAATAAACAGTTTCCAGATAATCTACTTATGATGTCATTGCTAGTGGGAATCAAAAAATGTTCTCTACGAATATACTGGTTCAATGGTTTTGGGTTAATGCATATTCTAAGGATCCTATCAGGTTTTTCAACTAACAAAAGGTTATGTACCCAACTAGTGGGATAACCAACTTTCTGAAATACATTTTTAGCTTCCAAATTATCAGTTTATCATGTAGTGAAAAAGGAACTAGTTTCTTTGATATTGTATAACTGGTTTTGAATTTTCTGCTAATTGAATGGAGCAAACTCCAGGAATTTTACCTAGACCATCAAAAACTTCTCTATAATGATTATAAAAACTTTCCTTGGTTTTCAGAGGTGAATCAACGGAATCAATTCTACGAATCAAATTGAAGTTCATACAATCTTGAAGACCAAGCAAAACTTCTGTTCGAAAATCAACAATTAGGAATTTTACATGTATTGTTATACAATGGTAGTTACACACTAAAGATACTTCTCCTATAGGTTTAAATCTAGAATTTCCATGAGAAATAAGCGTTACTGGAGTATTTTTCACATGATCATTATAATCTAATTTATTGAAAATATAATTTGGTAATACATTGCAATCTGAACCGGAATCAAGTTCAAATTTAACCAGTTTACCTTCTACCAAAATATTTTCAAACCATGAT